TCTTCTTCTTCTTCTTCTTCTTCTTCTTCTTCTTCTTCTTCTTCTTCTTCTTCTTCTTCTTCTTCTTCTTCTTCTTCTTCTTCTTCTTCTTCTTCTTCCTTCTCCCCTCCCTCCTCCTCCCTTTTCCCTTTCTCCTTCTCCTCTTTAGTTGCAGAGCGAGGAACCAGTAACCTTTTAGAACTTAGACTCACAGCAGTCTGGCCAATGCCAAGCTGTATCTGGATGCTCCTTGGTTCTTGAACAAAATTCATAGGCCTGAGAAGCTTGATAATCCATCCACCCTGCAAATATGTTTGACCTTCTCTCCTTCTCCACTACTTCACCCATATCTAGAGTGTTCTTGACATCTCTTGGAATGTGAATAGCCCAGTGCAGAGCTGTATTCCTCTGTGGATTCTCTTTTTCTTCCTTGCACATTCCGTTCCCACTCAATCGCTGCCTTGGAAGCTGCCTAGTCCCTGCCTTTATTTTAAATATTCCCTGATTTTTACACACGGAAGCAGAGGTAGCATGCATGCACTTTCCAATCTGGGGAAGTTTTCCGGAGCCACTGATGACCCGGAGACTATTTATCTGTTCAGCATCGGTAGACGTTTCTAGAAATGGCAAGGAAGTGCTAGAAAAAGCTGAACCCGACAGTCATAAGTGTGAAAAATGGTCGTAAGTCACTTTTTTCCCAGTGCCGTTGTAACTTCAAATGGCCACGATGGTCAATGCAAAGATGACGGGCAGATGAGTGTAGATAGATATGTGGATGTAAATATGGTTTATAATAACTGAGCCCAGAATTTTGGTTGCTAAACAAAACAGTTTGACTGGGATGGTATAAAGCTCCTGTCTTGGGCAGGAAGTTAGACTAGAACAGGGGTAGTCAACCTTGGCTCTTTTATGACTCGTGGACTTCAACTCCCAGAATTCCTGAGCCAGCTAAGCTGGCTCAGGAATTCTGGGAATTGAAGTCCACGAGTCATAAAAGAGCCAAGGTTGACTACCCCTGGACTAGAAGATCTCTGAGGCTCCTTCCAGCTTCTATGGTTCTATGACTAGATGAAAAGTTGTAAGTCAAGGACTACTTCTAATCAAGATAGCTCCTGGATGAGAATTTATGGTGGGCAAGCCACGGCCCGTTCCCTGGTAGCATACTGGGGGTTCCTCCAATCTCATCTGGAATTCTCCAATTTTTGCACTCTGCTTTGGTTTCTGCCAGAGAAAGTCCCAACAACTTTCAGAGGAGGAGAGAAGCCGTGGATTCTCCATGGGTGTAGAAGTCCCTCCCTTTTTTTTTAATTCCTTCTTTCTTTCAAGGGGAATTGCTTCCAAGTAGAACGAACAAGTACACCTATGTTCTGGCCCTTTCGAAATTTTAGTCTGCCAAGACCTATGGGTGGGGTCATCCCATCTGGAAAAAAAAAAATCATGGAAGGCAGAGAACGTAAGCTAAAAATGAAATGTTTACTTGTTGAAGTCCGTAATGATTTGCACGTCTTCGTTTATTGCGTTAATGCAATCCATCGAGTGCAGGGACGGTTCTCTCTTTTGCTTGCTGGCTTTTCGTTTCTTTCGTGCTTGTAAGGGGAAAGGAAACCGTAGCCGTGCGGGAATCAGAGCTGAGTAAATATTCAGTATAATCTTTACACCAGCTGCTGTTTCAGTTGTCCATACCTTTGTTTTTAACTTCAGCTTTTGAGAAGGACTAAACTGACCTTTTTTTAGAGAAATATCAGACAGTGCTGTGACTGTTACTATGATGTTAAGCTTGTTTTACACCAGTTGTATGCCAAGGATCTGCAAGTAGAATATTGGAAGGTACTAAGGGTGTCCTTGGTTTGTCTTCTGAGAAAAGGCAGAAATGAATAGTGGTTACAGATTTACAAGTCTAGCTAGGATAGAGGTCTAGTGGTTAAGGCACCAGGCTACAAGCCAGGAGACAGTGAGTTCTAGTTCTTCCTTAGGCACGTAATGCAGATGAGAGACTTTGGGCCAATCACCAGGAGACAATGAGTTCTAATCCTGCCTTGGGCGTGAAAGCCGGCTGGGCAACCTTGAGCCATTCACCAGGAGACTGTGAGTTCTAGTCCTGCCTTAGGCGTGAAAGCCGGCTGGGTGACTTTGAGCCAGTCACTTTCTCTCAGCCCAGCTCACCTCACAGGGTTGTTGGTGGTGGGGGGAAAAGTAGGAGGAGGAAGAAGTAGTATGGTGTGTGTTTGTCACCTTGAATTATTTATCAAAACAATAAAGGCAGGAAATAAATAAATAAAAATATAGGTGACGGAAGGAGGCTTATCATTGGATGGGACAAACTGCAGAGAAGATACCTGGAGTGGCTGATGGATAGAAGCAAAGGGCAGACCTGAGTGTTACCAGTGCATTTGTGTCTGATTTTCACGTGTGCATGGTGTATAGGTTCTCCTGCTTGAGCAGGGGGCTGGACTAGAAGACCTCCAAGGTCCCTTCAAACTCTATTCTATTCTATTCTATTCTATTCTATTAAAGTCCAGTCCAGTCCAGTCCAGTCGTCTATTATTCTATTCTATTCTATTCTATTCTATTCTATTCTATTCTATTCTATTCCTATTCTATTCCTATTCCTATTCCTATTCCTATTCTATTCTATTCTATTCAAGTCCAGTCCAGTCCAGTCCAATTGTCTATTATTCTATTCTATTCTATTCTATTCTATTCCATTCCTATTCCTATTCCTATTCTATTCTATTCTATTCTATTCTATTCTATTCTATTCTATTCTATTCTATTCTATTCAAGTCCAGTCCAGTCCAGTCCAGTCCAGTCGACTATTATTCTATTCTATTCTATTCTATTCTATTCTATTCTATTATATTCTATTCTATTCCTATTCCTATTCCTATTCCTATTCCTATTCCTATTCCTATTCTATTCTATTCTTCTATTCTATTCTATTCTGCATGTTCCACTTCCATCCCATCACCCCTGCTCCAGCCATTCGTTGCTGAGCAGAGATCCCACTGGGTGGAACCGGTGGGAACTGTAGCTTAACAAATCTAAAAGACAGCCGATTGGAACAAGCTGGTGTATCTATTAGAGGCTCTTCCCATCATCCTCAGCCATCTAGTTTCCTGGAGGNAAAAAGAGCAGGCCAGCTCTTCATAGCTTTCAATTTATTTATTTATTTATTTAAAAAAAGGGTTTTGGCAGCTGATTGGGAATTTTGTCTAGGACGTCTTCTCGGGGCTTCTGAAACAATAAGAAAGAAAAATCAGAATTGTTAGTTTGCTACTGCTGGGCGCAAGGAACTGCAGGCCCCACCACGGAGACTGGCTGCCAGTGCCAAAATTCCTGGGAAGCTTCAGCAAATAAAGAAAGAGCAGCTGCTTGTGGGGTAACGGAGGAGGAGGAGGAGGAGGAGGAGGAGGAGGAGCATGGTGGCTCCTTTCCAAAATGCAGAACTGAGATCCATCTCAGCTGCTGAGGTAACACTGTCAAAGGATAGGAAAGCAAAAACTAGCAGATGCTACCAATGAGAAAGAACAGTTGGAAGGGACCTTGGAGGTCTTCTAGTCCAACCCCCTGCTCAAGCAGGAAACCCTCTACCATTTCAGATGAATAGTTGTCCAATCTCTTCAGGAAAACCTCCAGCAATGGAGCAGCCACAACATCCAGTGGCAAAGCGTTCCACTGGTTAATTGTTCTCACTGTCAGGAAGTTTCTCCTTAGTTCTTAGGTTGCTTCTCTCCTTGATG